TTCTGTGTGTCTTTTATCTAAAGTGAGTCTCTTGTAAGCAGCATACTGAGTCATGTTTTTTAATTCATTCTGTCACTCTGTGTCTTTTGATTGGATCAGTTAATTCATTTACACTTAGAGTAATTATTAATAGGTATGTGCTTATTGCCATTTTGCTCATTACTTTTGTTGTTCTCCAGTGTTCCTATCTCCTTTATTTTTTCGCTTTTGATTTTCTTTAGTGTTTTGATTGAATTCCTTTTCCTTTTTTGTGTGTGTTTTAGGTTTGTGGTTACCAGGAGTTCCATACATATCCACCCATATCCATATCAGTCTACTTTCAGCTCATAGGCACTTACGTTCAATTAACTTTTAAAAGTACTACCTTTTTATGCTTCCCTAAACTCTGTTTTTGACATGTTTTCTATCTTTGTGTTTTGTGTAACTTTTAATTATTGTACTTACATTTATGTTTACTATTATCTTTAAACCTTCCGATTAGTTTAAGTGGTTGATTAACTATGATTATTTTATACTAGAGGCCTTAGGTCTGGCCAGTGATCAGGGCCAACTGGGGCCTTCTGGCTGATGGCCGGGGCCTTCCTTCCAGCTGCCAATCGGGGACTTCCTTTGTTCTGCGTCACCCCCTGGTGGTCAGCGCATGTTACAGCGAGCAATTGAACTCCTGGTCTCCTGATCGAACTCCCAAGGGGATACTTTGCATATTAGCCTTTTACATATATAGATTTGCCTTTATCATTGATTTGTGTGTTTTTTTCTTTCCTGTATTTTTTATATCTGGTTATGGACTTTTCTGCATAAAGAAGACCCCTCAACATTTCCTGTAAAGCTAGGTTAGTGGTTGTGAACTCCTTTACTTTTTGCTTGTCTGGAAACTCTTTATGTCTCCTATTCTGAATGATAACCTTGCTGGATATAATATTTTAGGTTGTAGATTCTTTTCTTTTAGTACTTCTTTTAGTACTTTGAATATCTCCTGCCACTCCCTTTTAGCCTGTAAAGTTGTTTCTGAGAAATCAGCTGACAGCCTTATGTGGTTCCCCTTGTATGTGACTTGTTTAATTCTTGCTGTCTTTAAGATTATCTCTTTATCCTTAACTTTTGCCATTTTAATTACAATGTCTTGATCTGAGTCTCTCTAATTCATCTTGTTTGCAACTCTCTGTGGTTCCTGGATATCTGTTTCCTTTCCCAGGTTAGGAAAGTTTTCAGAAATTATTTCTTCAAATACTCTTTCTGCTCCTTTCTCTCTCCTTTCTCCTTCTGGAATCTCTCCAATTTGAATGTTAGGATGCTTGATGTTATCCCAACAATCTCTTATACTATACTAGAGGCCTGGTGCATAAAATACGTTCATGGATAGGGTCTCTAGCCCTGACTGGCAATTAGTGCCTTCCGGCTGCTGGTCAGAGCCTTCCTTCATTCCACACCGCCCCTGGTGGTCAGCGCACGTCATAGCGATAGAACTCCTAGTTGAACTCCTGAGGGGACACTATGCATATTAGCCTTTTAAATATATAGATTTTTTAAAGTTCTTTTTTCATTTTATTGTTCTGATGGGTGATTTCCACATCACTAACCTGTTCTTCTTTATTAACTAATCTGCTATCAATTCCTTCTAATGTATTCTTCATTTCAGTTTTTGTATTCTTCATCTCTGATTGGTTCTTTATTACATTTTCTCTCTCTTCTGAAGTGCTGAGTGTTTTTTTAATTGTACTCTCAAGTTTGTTGAGCATCCTCATGACTGTTTCTTTGAATTGTTCATTAAGTAAATTACTTACCTCAATTTCACTAGGGTTTTTAGAGTTTTTTCTTATTCCTCCATTTGGGGCATGTTCTTCTGTCTCCTCATTTTGTTTTGACTTTCTGTTTCTTCCTATGAGTTTGATGTCTCTCTCAGCCTTGAAACAGTGGTCTCTGTGTAGACTGTGTTCGATAATTTTGGCAGACTGATTGTAGCTGGGAGGGGTGTGTGGGTTGCAGGTGGCCAGCCTGATGTAACCGGGGCAGGTTGGGTCGCTCTTGATGTGCCCTATTCCTTTAACCATCTGATCAAAACAGGGTATGTGTAGGCTTTTTTGCATGCATCTTAACACCCCAATAGTCCATCCCCTCTCCAGGCAATAAAACTCCTCATGCACTCAACTCTGCCTGCACGCCCTGTTGCTTTAAGTGGGCAGAACAGAGTCTGGGCAGGGTAACTCTGTATCTCAACACATTACTAGCTCTGCCCTTCCTCCAGATGGGGCTTCTGGTCAAGATGGCAGTGTAGGTAAGTCCAGTAAAGTAGCAATCATCTTCAGATCGCTTTGTACCTCATGTTGAGTGGCCCCGGGAAGAACACAGGCAATGGCTGACCTTGGCCTGAACCCACTGGGAGGCCCCAGAGCCAACACACCCAGTGGACAGCTTCAGACAATGTCAAAGCATCAGCAACCAACCACCTCCACAAGTGACACACTCAGAGGGCACCAGAGCCCTATTAATGCAAGTCTTGCTCTGTGGGGTGAGCTCCTGCACAGCTAATTCTCTACAGTAGTTGCAGCCAGTCCTTGCAGGTAATCAGTCTGGTGGTAAGTCCCTCCCATTGACATGACAACAGCATCATGGCTCAACTACAACAGGAGAGTGTACACAGCCCACAGAGGAGGGCGCATTTGGAGTGCCCAGAACCGGTGAACCGGGAGGCTGTGCCACTGGACCCTACAGGACACCTACTATAACAGGCCATGCACAAATCCCAGGAGACAAAGCAGCTCTACCTAATATATAGAAATAAATATAGGGCGACTATCTTAATGAGGAGACAAAGAAACATGTCCCAAATGAAAGAAAAGAACAGAACTCCAGAAAAAGAACTAAACAAAATGGAGACAAGCAATCTACTAGATGCAGAGTTCAAAACACTGGTTATAAGGATGCTCAACAAACTTAGGGGAAGAGTGGATGAAGTTAAAACTTCAACACCATAAAAAAGAACCAGTCAGAAATAAAGGATACACTACTTGAAGAATAATTTATAGGGAATCAACAGTAATGTAGATGAAGTCGAGAATCAAAACAGCAATTTGGAATATAAGGAAGAAAAAACACCCAATCAGAACAGCAAGAAAGAATACAAAAATAACAGAGGAGTGTAAGGAGCCTCTGGGACAACATTCACATCATGGGGATGCCAGAAGGAGAAGAGAGAAAGCAAGAAATTGAAAACCTACTTTAACCAGTTAACTGCCACGCATCCAAAACGGAAACCACCCCACACACCACAATATTTTCAATTTGCAATGAATATTATAAAAATAATTACTCAGAATTCGGGTGTTCTTGAATATTTTCAGCTGAAAATTCCCATGAAAAACTATGTTAAAGTTGGTCAGGGCTGCCACTTAGGGAAAACTTTTTTTTTTACAGACGCGTGTTGCATGTGGGGAAGGTCTGTGGCTTGCATCTACATTTAGAATCAACAGATAACAAGCTCCCCAGACAAGAAAAAGCTAAAGGAGCTCAACACCAAACTGGTATCACATGAAATGTTAAAGGGTTTTTTTTAAGAAGAAAAAGAAAAAAATAAGATAAAAGATGAGTAAAATGGCAATGAATACATATCTATCAACAACTGAATCTAAATCAATGAACATGGATACAGAGAACATTTTGATGGTTGTCATATGGGAGGGGAATTGGATGAAAAAGTTGAAGGGATTAAGAACAAATTGGTAGTAAAAGAATAGTCATGGGGATGTAAAGTACAATATAGGAAATATAGTTGATAATATTCTAATAACTATATATGGTGTAAATGGGTATGAGATTTATCGGGATGACCACTTAGTATGTTATAGAATGTCTTATCACTGGGGTGTACACCTGAAACTAATAAACTACTGTATGTCAACTATAATTGAAATATTAGAAATGATGTAAAAAATGCACCCCTATGTTCACTGCAGCATTATTTACAATAGACAAAACATGGAAGCAATTTAGGTGTTTACTGATAGATAAATGGATAAAGATGTATTTATATACAATATTATGTGACACTATGGATGGACCTAGATGTTACTATGCTAAATGAAAAAAGAAATAAGTCAGACAGAGAAAGATAAATAATGTATGATTTTACTTATATGTTGAATCTAAAAACAAAACAAAAATAGACTTATAGAAACAGAGATCAAAAGGGTGGTTAGCCAGGAGGGAGGGTGTGTAAAAAAGATGAAGGGGAATATAATCATGGATAATTTTACATGGTAACAGACAATCACATTGTAAGGTATAAAAATGTCAAATCATTATATTACACACCTGAAACTAATGTAACTAATATAATACTATATACCAACAAAACAGAAAATATACAATCCAACAATATGCCGTCTTAAACTTCAAATATAATGATATAGCAGACTGAAACTAAATGAATGTTTGTTATTCAAAAGAAGATAGGAGTAAAAAAAAAAGAAGATAGGAGTAGTTCTTTTAATACTAGAGGCCTGATGCATGAAATTCATGCAAGAGTTGGCCTTCCTTCCCCCAGCTACTGGCAACAGCTTCCCTCTGGCACCCAGGACCCGGGCTTCCCTCGCAGCCCCGGCTTCATCAGGAAGGTCGTCTGGAAGGACCTTGGTCGAATTAGCATATTATGCTTTTATTATTATAGAGTAGAGGCCCGGTGCACAAAAATTTGTGCACTCGGGGGGAGAAGGAGGCCCTCAGCCCGGCCTGTGCCCTCTCGCAGTCTGGGACTCCTTGGGGGATGTCCATCTGCTGGCTTACGCCTGCTCCCTGGGGGATTGGGCTCAGCTGGCAGTCAGAC